CTTCAGTTTAAATTATTTTTTAACTTAAAAAGATTTTATATCAGCTTTTAAATTAGCAATGCCATTCTATTTTGATCTTTTTGTTAGTGTGATATTAGTTTATTGGTTAAGAAACTACTTTGTTTTTAAAGATTTTGAGAACTGAATTCAATCTTTTAAAAGGTTTTAATTTGCTTTTGAAAAAAAAATAGGTCGCTGGTTTCATTTTTATGATTTTAAAGATACACAACTTTTTTTTATTTAATAGAATTAACAGTACGTTAACAAAAAAATAATATAAAATTTTAACATTTTAAGGATTGATATATAATATTCTAAAGCTTATGGGTCAATTTAAAATGAAAGTTATAATAAAGGAATCTCATGTACAATTATGTATTGTTATATTGGTAACATGATTTAGAGGAAGTGAAAGTGGGGTGATCTCAATGAGGGTGAGGAGTGCCAATGGTCCGCTGGTATCTCCACTCGAGTCAGATGCGTAGGCAGCCATTGGAATCTGTATCATATCACAACAGCGACCACATATATTGTTGTAAAAGAAAAGAAATGTTGATTTGAAGTGGATATAAATGGCATTCATTTAGACCCCATTGAAATTGTTGGATTTGGTCCATTTTCTTTCGCATCAATCAAGTGCATGGCTGAAACCCCGAAAGAGGCACTGTTGAAAGAAGGAAAAGCAAAGTGGTACCGGCCAAGTGCGTGCACAAATGACGAAGCTTTTTCAGACAGGCAGAGAGCATTACCAATTCTATGCTAATTCTATGACCTTTGCAAGGAGCGAATCAGGGTACAGGTAAATAAAGGTGTTGCATTAAAGGAAACACTTGAAGAAAAATAATCGATTGTTTATGCTCTGCTAAATTGCTAAGCCCTTTTATCCATATCCAATCAAACCCTTTCCTTTGCTTCGCTTGTTTTACTGCATCCTTTGTCGCTTCTGAATATGTATAGCACAAAGTACATCACTGAAAAATTATGTTTGTTATATTTACATATAGTAGTATAAGAGCATCTTGTTAACTAATGCAAAGTTGTTGTCCTCATCGGGTGTCATTGAAAAGAAAATAACATTTTGTATTATCAATATAATATACTCTAGCAAATACATTTTAATATTTTTCATGTGTATATATATATATATATATATATACATATCATATCCAAACTCTTATAGTTATCTAAATAACATTTTGTGTAATATCAATGAAAAATAACCTTTAGCGTATATACGCATACATACAAGAAAAATAATGATAAAATTGAAAATAACCTTTAGCCTATATCTGCTTAATTCAGATGTTGCTGTATCATTAGAATCTGGGCGCGGCTCAATTGGAGGTCTATTCCGGAATCATCAAGCTTGTAACAAGGGCGTAGGAATGATTTCGGTCCATCACGCGGAACTTTGGGGAGTTTATGAAGAACTTAAGCTTGCATAGAATTATGGTTTTGAGCAAGTCTCGATGCAAACTGACAATACTGATGTTCATGCTTTACTCTCGACACCTTTGTATGAGAGTTTTGGTTCGTTCCATCGCTGCTATAATTGACAAAGGTTGTTTCGTGGACTTCCGCGAGAGATTAATTATGCTGCTGATTATATGGCTAAACACTCACAACCTTTGGATAGTTCACTTCATGTCTTTGACTCGTCACCACCTAATTTCTCTCCAGGGATGGAGCTATGTGTTGGGTGGGTAGGTGGGGGGTCACTGCCCCTAATTTTTTATCATTAAAAAAATAAATAGAGATAAATATCTATTTAGACCTTCAAATTTTGATTTATTTTTATTTTTTCCCTCCCATTTTTTATTATTAGTTATACATTGCATCCTTTGAATTAGAATCACAGCTCCGTCCCTATTTCTCATATATTCATTTTAGGGATATCCATGATTCTTCTTACACCCGAGTAAAATCTTAATTTCCGGTTTTGGCCTAATATGTATGAAAAAAATATCATAATATCAATGAATATTTGTAATTGATGTATTGCATGCACTACTAAAACAAAACAAAAGAAATCCATAGAAATGATAGATACAATATGAACATGACATCTTTCTTTCGTGTCACCTTTAGCTTTTTAAAAAGTCAAGAAAATTCTGAATTTGGAGTAAGTATACATATTCATGTTATTCTCTTTAAAAATTTCGAATTTAAACAAGTATATATATTCATTATCAATTTACTAAGAAAATTTTGAACATATAATCATAATTTATTTTCCTCTTGAATGTTTTGAAAATTTTAATTATATACTCATATTTTTTAAAAAAATTCTCATTAAGTCTCAAATTAAAAAAAAAATTCAATTAGACCTATAAAAAATTAAAATTTTCGATTAGACTCCCTCAAACTTACGATCAAAATTGGCCACATAAACTAAATTTTGAATAGTTGTTTTCCCCCCCTTAATTATTCAAAGATGCTTTACTTCACTTTGCAGAAAAATCTTTGAAAGTTGAAACGTTTGATTCTTCTTTCGACTAAGTGAAGCTTGGAAGAAAGAAGAAACCATTCAGACCCTAATCCTTAATTTAATGAAATAATAAACTAACAATGAATGGTGTGTCTCATGCTGGGAGTAGAGGCCAAATGGGAATTTGGATTTTAATAAAGAAGAAAGTTGAGTTAGCAAACACACGGAATGCTTTGGCCTTTAACAAAGATTACTCAAAAGTGAAAAAGGAATCATAGCATTCTTCTCTTGATGGCTTAAGAATAAATAAATAAATTTTAAGTGTTCTTGCAAGGAGGAAGAGAGAGGTTATTCAGGTTTGAATTCAGAATTAAATATCAATTACAGGATATCTTTTGTCAATATATCACAGGTTAAACGGGTAATTCTCTTGCTTTTTAGCTAATGACATCTTAGTTTAATGGTAATATTAATGGTATGAGAATTTTTTTATCCTAAATTTAATCCCATCATGTGATCCTATATCTTTTTTTTTTTTTTTTTTATTTCATCACTCAAAAGCAGTGAAAACTGCTATAATCAACAGAGCATGGAATAAATACTCACAGATCCTAGGTAGAGATATCTCAAGCAACACACAGTTGAGAGTTCACAGAGTCAAGCCTATCAATACATTTTCTACTAAATTGAATACTAACAATCTTCTTAATTAAGGCCAAGATAATAACAGAAGAACGGAAACAACCTTAAAAGATCATGCAATTACATTCAGTCCATACGTAATACAAGCGAGCACTCCAAGCCACCTTTAGAATGCAAGAAATTAAGGATTTTCCTTTGAGTAAACCTCAAAGCAAATCTTGATCCCAAAGCATAACCTCTCGAGACATATTACATCATCTCAAAACACCCTCCCAAACCTCTTTCGAGAAAGGGCCACAAAAGAACAATTGTTCTCAAGTCTCAAAATGACCACAGAAAACACAGAGACTATCAACAACAATACACCAGTGCAGCAAACGACCCTTTATAGAGAGCCTCCCATAACAGCAATGGCATGCTCAGGAATTTGGAGAGAAAATCACACCAACCTATGCCAAGGAACAGCAACACCTTCAGCACAAACCTCAAATCAAGTCCATGAGGTAGTAATCAAACTCCAATTCGTAACGGACCAATCAAAGGAAAAGCCCCCCTCCTTCGTTTTGAGAATCTTCCTCATGCACCAACTGAAATGACATGTGACCCTGTATTAGTTTAACGTCTTATTTTATCATTTTTTCTTTAATTTTTTAGATTTAATAAAAAATAATGTTTAAATTATACTCTTTGTTTATTTGAAGTGTCTTAAGTATATTTTTGCTCAATGTAGATGTTTAACATTTTCTCCATTACTATTATTAGTGTCTGATCCATCATAACCGTTAAAAAATTCATTAATCGCTCATACTATAACACACGACGGGTTTATAAGTTTTTAAGAGTCAACAATAAATACAAAAGTAATACAACAGTCAATAAATATTAAAATAAAAGTTAAATATAATTTAGGGGTCAAAATCAACATTAGCTCTCCAAAAGGAATGAGAACTCAATTCTCGCATAGTCAAGTATGGTACAAAAGAAAGATTATGCGAAACACATGCAAAAGTTGCAATTTTTCCTCTTCAAAAGATTTTCCACACGTTTTCTAATAACCACGCCGTTGTTTGGTCCAAAACCGACGACTCAAAGCCCTAATCGTAACTTTTTTAATTAATTATTAGTATCTGGTCTATTGATTAATTAATCTAGATCAAATTTTATAGAGCTCATTATGGAGACAACCGTCTCAACTCAGTTTGTTTCATTTGTAAAAATCAAAATTCAAACAATCGACCTTACTTCAAAAATCTAGTGTCTTATCACACTAAACTAACCGGTTGTTGGTCCCTAATCATATTTTTGTTTGTTCGTTTAATAGTCTAAATAAAAGTTTATTTTATTAAATCAAATAACGTCATAAAGAATATATTATTATATATTTAATATTATTAAATCTTTAAAAATTTAAACTTAAAATCTTAATTAAATTATAAATTGAGATTTGCAGACTTAATACCAAAATAAACCAACCCCACTCTTATGTGGAACTGTTACTGCCAACCACTTGGCAATATGACCAATGCTCTTTGGTTCGTAGGATCTTTGTAGTGCAAAAACCAGGGCCTCCTCCAACATAAGGCTGACTTTGACTATTGGCTAATTTGCCAAACATTGGAGACAAGACAACCTAAAATGGGTTCCAAGTACATGCCACAATTGCCTTGTCCTTTGCCCTACACAATGCCAACTTTAATACAACAATAAACTGAACTATAAGTTACCCCCTGAGGGCCCTCCCTATTAAAAATGCCACGAATATGAATACAATCCGGTTTATGTATGATTATCGAATACTAAAAATCTCGATAGAACGCTTCGGTATAATAATTTTTCTTAATGCCGGTCACAGTTAGTAATACCACGTTTACAAGCATTCAAAATTCACTATAAAACCCATTTAGTCCCCCATTCTACAACCCTCCCTAACACAATCTCTCTCGCTCGGTCACTAGTATCATTTTTCATATACAGCAAGATGTGCCAGTTCACATCCTCCGGCAAAGGTGACTCCGACGTCCCTTATCTTCTCTTGATCGACGACTCGAAAGGGTCGTCGAATATTTACGAACCATTCATCCCTAGCAGCCCGAAGTGTTACTCGATGATCCAGACCGAGAAGGTAGATAGGGCCATTTTTGTTCCTTTTGCAATCAAGGAAGCCATTGCCATAGCCAATATTGCTGTACCTATGGTACTAACCGGGCTCATGTTATATTCCCGGTCGTTGATTTCCATGCTTTTTCTCGGCCGCCTCGGTGACTTAGCCTTGGCGGGCGGTTCGCTAGCCATTGGCTTTGCTAATATCACTGGCTACTCCATTCTCTCTGGTCTTGCCATGGGAATGGAATCGATTTGCGGCCAAGCGTTCGGCGCAAAACGATACACCGTTCTCGGCATCACGTTGCAGAGAACGGTGCTTTTGCTTCTCGTTTCTTCATTACCGATTTCTCTCCTGTGGATAAACATGAGGAAAATATTGATACTATGTGGCCAGGATGAAACTATAGCCACTGAAGCACAATGGTATCTTGTTTATTCTCTCCCTGATCTTTTAGCCCAATCAGTTTTGCATCCATTGAGAATCTATCTTCGAACACAGTCCATTACTCTCCCGTTAACATGTTGTGCCATGTTATCGATTCTTCTCCACATACCCATCAATTATCTTCTAGTATCGTATCTTAAACTAGGCATCAAGGGTGTTGCTCTTAGCGGTGTGTGGACAAATTTCATTCTTGTGGCCTCATTGATCATCTACATCCTATACTTTGGTGTCCACAAAAAGACATGGGGAGGGTTCTCGGTCGTCAAGTGTTTTAAAGAATGGAAATCGCTGTTGAATTTGGCCATCCCGAGCTGCATTTCGGTCTGCCTCGAATGGTGGTGGTATGAGATCATGATTCTCCTATGCGGCTTGTTGTTGAACCCGAAGGCGAGCGTCGCTTCGATGGGGATTTTGATCCAAACGACGGCGTTGATCTACATATTTCCGTCGTCTCTAAGCTTCGGTGTGTCTACGAGAGTCGGGAACGAGCTTGGTGCAAACCAGCCTAAAAAGGCCAAGCTCGCTGCCTTCGTAGGCCTTTTTTGTGGCTTCATGCTGGGCTTATCAGCACTCGTGTTTGCTACAATGGTGAGGAACATATGGGCTAGCATGTTCACGGGCGACAAAGAGATCATTGCATTAACATCCCTCGTTTTGCCGATCATCGGGTTATGCGAGCTCGGAAACTGCCCGCAAACGACCGGGTGCGGGGTTCTACGAGGCACGGCAAGGCCGAAGGACGGCGCCAACATAAACCTCGGTTGCTTTTACCTCGTCGGTATGCCGGTGGCAGTATGGCTTGCTTTCTTTGCTGGATATGATTTCAAGGGACTGTGGCTCGGAATGTTGGCAGCTCAAGTGTCGTGTATGGTGACCATGCTACTGGTTCTGATCAGAACAGATTGGGATTTCGAGGCCGAAAGAGCTAAGAAGCTGACCGGAGCTCAACTGGTCGTCGATGACAGCAAAGAGAAACCAAACCAAGCAGAAATCAAGGAGGATTCGTTTTCTTTATTAGGTGATTTGGATCATTATTGCCTCGTTTAATCAACATTTTCCCCCTTTTTTCGAAGTTTTATATTTTTATTTTGTATAGCTTAAAAGTGGGTTAGGATCCAATTCATTATTTTCGAGTATAGTAATCAATCATCAAACATCATTAATTAAGCAGATTCTACATACCATTTTCTCTGTAACAAGGCGAGTTGTAGCTTAAGTATTATTGTTGGAGGATCAGTATATGATCTATAAATATGAAAAATTAGCAGTCCATAATGAATTAATTTCTAAAGTTTAAGTCCTTGATTGTCTCTCAAAAGAATAAGAAAAGGGGTCTGATGCCCCCATTAGTGAGCTAAATGGGGCCAATTAAGGGAAAGTTACAAGAAAATTATGATTAGAGCAAGATTTTAGGTTTAATTACTTCCTTGAACTTTCCCTAAATTTTGTACATAAAATTAACATAATAAATGCTTAAAAATAATGGCATTCACATGTGATAAAGAATTTAATGTATCCCTAAAATTTGCATTAAGAATGGTAAGTAATTATTAATTATCTTTCTGTTTAATTTTTTTTTGAATTTGATTCTCACATATCATTAAAGTTAAAACAATTAATCCATTTGCTAAAAAAACATATCAAATTAAATTGTTTATTTTTATTAATTTATCATATATAAATATTAATAGTTAATTTTATCAGTATAAAATACTTCCTAAGAAAAAAAAAATTAAATTCTTGATTATCTTACAATTTGACGATAACAAAAATAAAATTTATGTGTTGATATTATAAATTAAATTAAAAATATAAAATGATAAAAAACATAATTAAATGAAAAATTAAATAAAGGATAATGTCAATCTATATAGTTTATTGAGCCTAGAACTGGAAAATTCTTCACGAGATCTTAAAATTTGTGTCGTATTAATACAGTAAACATGCGAAAATTGTCGTGACATCAACAAACATAACTTAGGGTAAAATTAATTAATTAGTTACATAGGTTTGATTAGAGATATTATATTAAATGCTAAAACCTTAAATTTCTCAATGAGTTAGACTGGCACCACGTATTTCCCTTCTGTGACGACCACCACCTCGGCGGCAGCTGCATGAAAACTCCATCTCTTCCTCTTTCTTAGTTAGGGTAAATTTTTTAATACATAATATCAAAATTAGTCCTTAAATTTTATTAAAATATTATTTTAGAGTAAAAAGATTTATCCGTAGATGAAAATTATTAGTTAACAAACAGTTAACACTTTAAAATAAGAACATTTATACCCTAAATGAAACGTTATGGGTCTAAATATACTAGAACAAAAATAAGGATCATCAAAGTGATTATTCAATCAAATATTAGATATTTTTTCTTAAAATGAAACATTAAGGGATAAAATGCTAAAAAAAAGAATAGGAGCCAAAATGATATTTTAATAAATGTTTGAGATTAATTTTTACATTATATCAATTTTTAAATCCTAAAAGTGGGTTTAATAAATAATGACGTATTATATCAAATAATTATTCCAAGTTGAAAATTATACAGTACATTGATGACAATAGATTTTTATTATTTTTAGGGTAAATTACACAAATAATCTCTTGACTATAGGGTAATGCTTTGTTGAATCCCTCAACTATTAAAAGTTATAAAATGATCTTTTGATTATAGGGTGTTGCTTTGTTGAGTCCCCCGACTATTAAAAGTTACAAAATGGTCACCCAACTATTTAGTATGTTCCAAACTCATTCTTTTCTGTTAAAAAATTGACAACAATCCGAGTTGGATGTTAACCCGTTGAATGAGATATGATAGGTTTTTTAGGTTCTGAGATCAAATTTTATCATATCTCAGTCATCAAGTTAACACCCAACTCAGATTGTCATCAAATTTTTAACAAAAAATGACGAGTTTGGAACATACTAAATAGTTAAGTGGTCATTTTGTAACTTTTCATAGTAGTGAGACTCAACAAAGCAACACCCTATAGTCGAATGATCATTTTGTAACTTTTAATAGTCGAGAGACTCAACAAAGCATCACCCTATAGTCGAGGGACCATTTGTATACTTTACCCTGTTTTTTTTAAAAGTTTTAAAGCATAAATTAAGTACCTATGATATTTTTTTATTTTATTTTTTGAATTTTAAAACGTAAATACATAATTAATTTATTGAATAAAAATCTATAATTAAGGGCAGCGTATCTACTCCATTGACCGTAGAAATAAGGAAAATGCAAATCAAACTTATTGATTCAGTAATTATTTTTAAGAGAATTGATTCATTAATTAAGTTGGTTTTTGATGTAAAAAAATATATTCTTAATTTAATAAAAAAATATTGGAAATTTTTAATAGCAAAAAGAAAAATTTGTCCGAAATTGATATTAGAACCTAATATCGATTTTGGTGTTAATATATCTTATTACTTTTAGATTCCTATGAGTTTAAATTTAAGTAAAATTAGACTTTTATTTCATTTATATTTTAGATTAAATGTCTAATATATCTTATTATTTTGAACTTAGTTATTTTACACCTCCTAAATTTAATCTTAGCTTTATCTCCGATTAAGTCATTAAAAATTATTATTATTATTATTATTATTATTATTATTATATATGCATGCAAGGGAGCCTGAAAATAGGAGAATCTTCGACGTGCAAGCCAAACCAACATGTTTCGCATATGCAGAGTGCAACTTGCACAGCCCTTAATCTCAATGCAATCCAACTAATTAAGTGATAATCAAAGCCAAATGTTAATCCAACTTTATATATTTCATGCACTACAGCTTACACTTGGGACAATCAGATCTAAACCCTTGGACTTTGAAAATCTCTCACTTCATTTTGGAACTTTGGAATGATTTTTTCCCATTATTATTCCTTCAATTGCTTTCCACAGTATACGCAAATTAAGGATTTTATTTAAAAAAATCTTTTAAATTATATAATTTTTAAAAGTTAATATTTAATATGCCGACCTAGTACAATTTTTAGATGCTTTAAGTTTGATGTAAGCAATGTTTATTCATATTCTTTATAGTCTTTTAAAACATTTTTATTTAGCTTGTTGCGAGGTTATTTTATTGATGGGATGAAAAATGAACGATGTATCATGTATGGTCAAATCTTATTATTTTACGAAAATAAACATAAACGATAGGTGCAGATATTAAATGGAAGTTATTCTAATCAATGAGGTTAATTGTTGGTAAAGGAAATTGAAATCAGATGTGGATCGAGACGAGAGCGGGTGGGAATAGTCGTCCCTTCTGAAATTTTTATATTTTTTATTGATTATTTATTTTCATCCAGAATGTTATAAGTTCATTCTTTTTAAAATTTTAAAAACTATCTCCTAATATAAAATTATGCATTCGTCCCTTGAAACTCGAAAAAGGATGCAATGTATACCTATATAGTTACCTCTTTAGAATTGCGAAGCATCAAGGCTGTGGGAAGTAAAATACTCCTGAAAAACCGTTGGGAGCCTCGAAGTGTATAGTCTTGGATTAAAATGCTATAATTTATAAACAATAAAATATCAGAAAACCACATTAATTAAATTAATTTCAAAGATTCTGTAATACTTTACGTAATTAATCATATATATTATTATTAGCCATGGATTCGTATACAATATTCCACGGGCAGTGGCCAATGGCCAACGTGTGTTACCCTCGATCTGCCATCTCTTGTGAATTTGGAAGAGACATTGCAATATATAATTATGGAAGATGATGGATCAGATCTTGATGGAGATCCAACGTCACTGCAAGGCAAATCTTATTTTGTCAAAAGGTATATATATATTGAATTATTTCGATAAAAAATATTGATAATTAAACTGATTAAATTATCAATTTTTAATTTAACCGACTCGATATAAGATTTGATAAGAGTTATATATATATATATATATATATATATATATATACATATTAATTTCGATTTTTAATTTAACCGACTCGATATAAAATTTGATAAGAATTATATATATATATTAATTTAATTAGCTAGCAAGCAAGCACACCCAACATTCTAAACCAACTTGGCTTGGGGTAATGAGTCAATAACCAGGCATTCACATGCTTATATATATATATATATAACCACTTGTGACTCAAAATCAACAATAGGAGAGATTTTCTGTCAAATATTTTATTTTGAGGATTATGTTTGATTTTTGGTTTAATTAAAAAAAAAAATTCTGCTTTCCCCCCACTTGTTATTTATTAACTTTTTTTTTAAAAAAAGTTCTTTTTTCTTATATCATAATTGATTTCATTAGCATCCCTAGCTAAATAGTCACATGTATATCTAAAAATATAATGATAATAATTAACAGCAATGACATTAAACATCAACTTTATAATTATTTTCTATGTGTATATATCCAAGAAAGAATTATACATGCATGCTTTAATATACAGAGAAAGAGATCATCATGTATAATTGAAATTAAATTCACAGTATGTAGACTACGTGCATCCTAAAGAGATGAATCATTAGATCCTTTAAATAAAGTTAATGATTCAAATCTTAATGTTTTGAATGAAAAAAATTAGATCAATAGAGTCGTTCTGAAGGAGAATTTTGCTCCTAAGGAATATTAAACCTACAGTCGAGGAATGTTTAAACTGAGAGATTTTAATCATCTGTTTTAGAGATTGTTGAGTTATACAGTGGTTTGTTGAATTGTAATGTACATCATTATTATTTCCAGTCAAATACAAAGCTGAAGTACATTAGCTTTATAGCTTACAAGGGCTGAAAACCATCACCTTAACAACCTAACTACTGGACTAACAACCTAACAACCTTAGGTTTAGCTCACATACAACAGAGAACACACCATTTACTTGCACCTTAGCTTACCATGCACGTTATCTTTCAACATTCTCCCTACTTCTTCTTCTCCTTTCAGCAGACTCACATTTACCCTTGCACGAAACGTGATAAACACTGTTTAATTTGGTCAATGGTTTTGTTAGCCCATATGTAATTGAATGAGCAACAGGAACATAACTAA